CATGGTTTTTAGCCTAGCCGTATCGAAATACTGGCCTTAGGCTTTTTCGTGCCGGTCACAGTTATATCATGAAGAAATCTGATGAGAGCAGGGTGGCTAGTTCTCAGGGTATTAATGACGCCGTTTAAACCACTGAGACTATAAAGAGTGAAATTAGATGAAATATGATAATTATTTTTAAATATGCAGGAGATGGAAGGAGCCGATCTTGATTCATTTGATGATTGGCGTGTCATACGCTTCAGAGACTTCTGTACGCATTTTAACTTGTAACTCATCGCAACCACCGCAATTATAATTATAAGATATTTCACTCACAGTTTCTCGTGCTTCAATTGTCTCCATTTGGCATACTTTTCGTCATTTACAGGTCCACACCCTTACAGAAACAACGGAAATTCAGAATACCTTAGAGAAAAGACGATAATATAATTAAATTTACTACGTAAATTTAATTTGCTCTCTGTGTCTTTGAGCGTCGGTTTGACTACGTTCCACTCGAAATGCATAATAAATTATGGCAAATAATGATTGAAATATAGGTAAGCAGTATTTTGAAACTATATTCTAGAAGTTTAACCTTCGAAAACAAATGTTCGCTCATTCTTAAGATATCCAAACAAGAAGTTTTTGTATATTTTCCATCGTCAAAAATAATAAAAATCACAATAAAATTGAACCGACTTTTCGGAGATGGGCTCTATCTCCTTCTTCAGATACCTACTCTGTTGGGCTATATGGTGCTAATCCCTATCTCCGAACCTAGGTACACGTCGAAATCAATGAATGTTTATTACGACTCCTTCCTTGAAGAGACTTCACACAGTCCCGATCGTGAGAAACGCAACCCTCATTAAAAGAACAACTAGAATACTCAATTGTAAACAAATGCTAGATACCAAGAACAACTGAGCTCGGACGTCAAAACAAGTTCCGGCCGGTTACGAGGACTTCGATGTGCGTGCCCTGTTCAACGAATTTCGAATGAAATACGAAACTAACTAATTCTCGTTTCTTGATGTTTAAAAGCAACGTGTGACTCAGGTATCGATTGTGTCAGGAATTAGAATTAGAACGAGATTAAAATTAATATTTCCTCGTCACCTTCCGTCTGAAGAACACAGGACGGCCAGCCTCAGAATCTGATTTTTTGTCTGTGTACGTCTGTGAACGATCACCCAACCAGACACAGGGTGACGTGAGGTCAGCACGACGAACCCACAGCCATTGCTAGCTTTCATGACCGGATTACGCTACTCATTGTAGCTCCCCAGTTTCCTCACGATGCTGGGTTGGCACCGGTCGAAAGCTCATGAGAAAATTTCTTCTCCCCCGAGACTCGAACCAGTGTGCATTCCGTATCACCCGGTCCGAAGCAATGAGGCACATTGAGTTTATGTGTGACGACGTCATCTAGACGCAGGTGTCCATTTGATTCTTGCCTTCAGTAGCAAGAGCAGACCCAGTCAGTTCCTCGTTGGACGTTGGTCGTTGTCGGTCGTGCAGTGAAATCTGAAATGTATCTCGAACCTCGATTTACCTGATTTATAATTACGGGATTTTAAATCTGTGTTTAATTGGGAAGTGTAAATAATTCTCGTACCCCATCAAAGGCAAAATAAGGTAAGAAGGCAGTGTCGTATTTATGGAGAGAGGCTACGAAATGAGGAATTTTTTGGTCGGCTGTCACGTATATTTAATGACAAGTAATTTGTGGAAAATGGAACCAAAATTGTTTTCGAACGAATGTTCTTTTGTTACGCAAAAGATTTCGAAGAATGAAATAAATCGCCTATAAAATTTTAAATGATAAAAGCCGGATTTCTATTGAATTTGGACTCCAATGATATGCAAATTTCGTGAAATATGAGAGTGGGGAAGAAAAACTTTCGAAATTTTCTAAGATTGAAATGAAGTTCAAATTGGGAATGTGCGTTTGGCGTCATGTAACAGGTGTTAGCAGCCTCTTCAAGGGTAAATATTTAGATAACATTATACGAATTTTTTAAATCGTAGGCGTGTCTTTTTAGTTACAAATTGTTATATTTTACCATAAACTCACATAGTTATGTCATCTGTTAAAATTTCCTTTATACTTCCTGAAGTTTCACTGGAGTTTATGTACACATTGCCAATACAGAATTGGTTTTCGTTTTAAATTCAAATTAAATGTTTGTCTATCGTCGACTATTGTAATTTTAATGCTTTAAAATTTCTAATGATTCTGTTCACATTACTTTTAAATTAATATGAATTCGTTGTGGTATGGAAACGAGAAAAACTGCCGAATAATTGAAATTCTAAAAGGTGTCCGTTTAGGATTGAGCAAAATTTGAGAGCCATGCGTGTGTGGAGCGTAAACAAAATTTTAGCCATAAACCTCGGTGACCAAATCGTAGAAAATAGGACGTGTGTGTGTGTGTTGATACTGAGAAGTGTCGCGTGATATTTTGGCTCGGTACATGGAATCGTACAGGATAGCTCAGGATAGTGTCCCGTGGTAGGATCTTGTGACCAACCTTCGTGTTTCAAGATTAAAGTGGAGCTATTATGTGAGAAGCGAGTGTGCTAATGCGGTGCTTGGCGGAGCCACTGTTGGACGAGCTCCAGGTACAGCGTCACCATCTACCGGTCGCTGGAACAACGAGGAGCATACACCACTCTCAACATAAGGTAGGAAAGGGACAATTTTATTTTGTGCCGAAGAGCCAAGGCCAAACGTGCCAAATACAGAAGGAGATTTCCCAAGTCATGCTGAAAATGCCCGGGACAAACCGAAGAGTTCAAGATGCGGGGTTCTTCTCCCCAAGAGCCTAAATGGCGTGTAGCGAGTTGACTTTAGTTTTACGTGTGTACTAGATTATAGAACTGTTTCTCCTTAAGAAATCCTTCCGATGTGAATGCTTTCTTGGGTATCCGGTGACCTCATTGGCCATGCTACTGGGCCACCACGCCCAATCCATCGCTGAGGGTACTGTTCATTGAGATGATATCTGACTCTGACATGACGATGACATACACGTTACCTCAAAGTGAAATAAGTTTTATTTCTCAGATTCCTACAGATCGGGAGATATGTGCCTTTCAGAAATTGACTTTCGAATAACCTTAAAAAATTAAAATGTCTCTATCCTGGAAACCCTTGGACATACATTGACGTGACTCTGACATGCCAATGACATACACATTACCTCAAAGTGACATAAGGTTTGTCTCTCAGATTCCTACAGATTGGGAGATATGTGCCTTTGAAAAATTTAGTTTCGAATACCCCTGAAATATTAAAAGGTTTCTATCTTCCAAACATTTGGACTTATATTGACGTGACTCTGACATGACGATGACATACACGTTACCTCAAAATGACATAAGGTTTGTCTGCCTTACGTGTTGCATCCCGCACATCGGCTTATAGAAGACCGTGTGAGGCTCAGACCGCGTTCGTCAGAGACACAGTACGTGAGACACATTCCAACGGCGATCGGTTCTGCATAGCATCAGGTGGGGTGAATTTTGAAAAAAAATTGATTTTTTAAAAGTTTCAAAAATTCAAAAAATGTGGGAAATTGTCCAAAAAGCACACAAATCCAAATTTTTTTGAAAAATTCCACTTTCAATTTTTTTCAAAAAAGTAAAAAAATGGAAAAAATTCAATTTTTTTATTATTGTGCACTTTTCAGAAAATTTCCAGGTTTTTTGATTTTTCGAAAATTTTGAAAAAATTTTGAAAACTCTCACCAAGAGATGCATGCCAGCCTCGGTGAATGCCTCACCCCGTCTCTGCCGGACTCGGCTTCGATCCTTTCCGGCTCCTGACTGCCTCGGTTTCTACACATTCTGGCATTCACCGAGGCTGTCATACATCTCTTGGGGAGAGTTTAGAAAAAAATTGGAAATTTTCAAAATTTTCAAAAAATGAAAAAATGCTTAAAACTGACTGAAATGCACACAGAAGGAAATTTTTGAGAAAATTTTTGTATGTGAAATTTTTCAAAACTTGAATGTTTTGGGCGCTTTTAGACAATTTCCAGCATTTTTTGATTTTTCGAAAATTTTGATAAGTTTTCAAAATTCTCCCCATCTAATGCCTTGCAGAACCGGTACCTGTCGGACTGTTTCTGATGTACTCTGCCCCTGACGAATGCGGTCTGTGCCTGTCACGATCTCTGACGTGCCGTCTCTGAAGAGACGAGGTGCGCCAAACACTACGTAAGGCAGAGACCGAGACGGGCAGGAACACGGTCGGAAACACACTGTGGCGTGCAGAGGCCGGCTGGTGCAGACAACGAGGCAGTCAGCAACGGGCTGACATAGATGCCGAGTCCGGCACAGACAGGATATGGCATTCACCGAGGCTGGCATACATCTCTTGGGGAGAGTTTAGAAGTAAGTTCAAAATTTTCAAAATTTTCAAAAAATCAAAAATCCTTGAAACTGACTGAAATGCACAAAAATCGATTTTTTTGAAATTTTTGAGAAATTTTTTGTTTGTGAAAGTTTTCAAAAAATTATGTTTTGTGCGCTTTTTAGACAATTTCCAGCATTTTTTGATTTTTCAAAAATTTTGATAAGTTTTCAAAATTCTCCCAATCTGATGCCTTGCAGATCCGGTCTCTGTCGGACTGTTTCTGATGTACTGTCTGTGACGAACGCGGTCTGTGCCTGCACGCACTCTGATGTGCCGTCTCTGAATAGCCGAGGTGCGGCGACCCCCACCTAAGGCAGAGACCAAGAGGGGCAGGAAAACGGTCGGCCACACAGCGAGTCATGGAGAGGCCGGTTTGTGCAGACACCGACGCATTCAACAACAGGTTGATATTTGACTAAGGACACCAATATGTTACCAGCCGTTTGACGTGCGCCCCGAATTCCGCGCCCACCAATATTTGCAAATAATGTACCAGAGATTTATATTCAGTGTTTTTCTGTGGCGATTTATATTAATAATTGACGTACTATCATTCACGAATGTTTAGTCCGATTCCTTCGTTATATGATACTTATTTATAATGTATTAGATTGGGTCATCGTTACTCATGAATCTGCTACGTATTTGGGTCAACATCTACACTGCATCAATTTTGCAAGAAACAATTCTTCTGTTATCATTATGTAATTTTAGACGTGTTATGATGTATTACACGCATATAAGCACTATTTGTGTTATATGGGAATTGTGTAAGCGCGTAATATCGTTATTGGTAAGTGGTCGTGGCCGATTTTGCGCATCCTCCACCTCACGATTCAGGATTGTCCGCGGTGTTACATCAGAGAGTAAATGGACACAGCTCCTATCTCGTTTTATAGTAGACTTTTGTCCTCTGCCGAAAAACGCTACAATACTTATGAGAAAGAATATTTGGCAGTGTTATTCGACTGTGAAAAGTGTAGGAGTAACCTTGAACACAAGGAATTTGAATTACAGTGTGATAATCTGGCTCTGGCTTGGCTCCTTAGAGGGGTTAAAGATGTAGGTCAGCTAGGCCGGTGGATAATGCGACTCGCGCACATTAAGTTTAGAGTCACACATACTCGGGGAATTGATAATGTGGTGGCTGATGGGTTATCGCGTATGTTTGAAGGATGGGAGGCCGTTGAACCGGAAGCGAGTTGTATGGCTTGTTGCAAATGTTGCCCCTAGTGTATTCTTCCCTTGCGGAACAGCAGAAAGAGGATCCCTTTTGTTTGGATTTCCTTGAGAGGGGGAGAAATGGTGAGTTGGTCGGAGGGAACTTTCGTGTAGACCAAGATCTCCTTTGCTATCAACTGAGAGGAGTTAAGCGAAGGCGTTATTATATCCCTCCTCCATTACGAACGATGCTGGTCAAATATTTTATATGATTCTCCGCTTTCGGGACATCTTGGGGCCTTTAAGACTTTGAAGAAGATCACGTATAATTTCTATTGGCCCAAGATGAGGTATGAGGTGTCTGGCTTTGTCCAGACTTGTGACTTGTGTCAGCTAGCGAAGGCCGCTCATAATACTCAAATTGGGTTTCATTCGGCAATCCCATTATCTCGGCCGTTCATTGATTTTATGTGTGCGATGGTTAGAACCAAACGAGGAAATCAAGCTATTTTGGTCGTGTTTGATGGATTTTCTAAGTTTGTTGCCTTTTACCCGGTTCGGAATAGTAACGCGACAACGGTTAGCGACGTTTTGGAACGTCGGTACTTTCCGGCTCATGGTATCCCTGCCTCAGTGGTATTGGACAATGCTAAAGTTTTCCGATCTAAAGGTTTTTGTGATTTGTGTTTTAAGTGGGGAATTAAGCGAATAAACACGACGCCTTAGTATCCTCAGGGGTCGCTGGTTGAAAGAGTTAACCATAATCTTAAGTCTGCATTGAAAATGTTTCATCATAGCTCCCAGAAGTCGTGGGACGAGGATCTTCGCTCATTTAATACTGCCGTCCATGAGAGTACCAAATTTACCCCGGCTAAATTATTTTTGGGACAGGAAATTAAATCACCCTTAGAAATTAATTGGAATTTCAGCCCTGAGCTACATGAGGAGGGTCATCCCATTGAGTCGTTTTGGACTCAAGCGTATGAAAATTTGAAAGCAGCGAATCGCAGGGTTGCACGAAGGTTCAATGAAGGACGCATTTCAAATTCATTTGAGCTTGGAGATACTGTAGTGTATCGGATGAATTTAATGAGTAATAGAGTCCGCGAAACTTCTGCCAAATTACTGCTGAAATGGTCGAAGCCAGTGGTAATTGCGAAATGTTTGAAAGAAAATTTTGTGTTGTTAGCTAATCCGGAAACTGGGCTCATTGTAAGGAAAGCCCATGTTTGTCAATTAAAAAGATACAAGGCATAATTTTTATGTATTCTTGTTGTATGAGCTGTGTCTGGCGAGAATCAGGTTTAGAGGTGTATATTTGCATCTGTCTCCGGCCTTCCCCTAACGCAAGGCCACACACAGCCTTTTGTTTCGTCGATCTCTTCTGGAGGCGCCGTCGGTGGATGGAGTTCCACGATAGGCGATCTTGTGGAGAAGAGGATTATCTTCGCCTGATCACGGAGGCGGACCCTGTTTGGTGGGCCGCTACAAGGTAGCGAAAGTCACTGAGACTGTGAGGTCTCTCATGAGAAAATGTATATGACAGTACCAAGTGGAACTGCAATCCCCTGGAGAAGCTGATGATCATCGCTAGACTGCAGTTGCCGACCCTGCCATGTGGGTTGATGCATGGCAGAACCCTTATCAACGGTGTAACTATCCGCTGAGACCTCTTAGGAGGACGCCTAGGGGACCGTGCCGAGTGGAATGGACGAGGGTGCGAGTCGCTGCGGACGAGTCACGGGTGGATGCCATTGGGCCACTGGTGTGGCCTGTTCCTGGTACTGAGAAATGTGCATGAGGTGGTGTTTGCAAATGGAACGGTGGACCTGATATCTGGTGGAAGATAGGGTGGCAAAAACTTGTTTTGACCTCTGCACGGGAGTATATTTGAGCGAAGCTAGAGCTGGCTCTGGTGTTTGAGACGGCGGATGGTGCGCATGCCTGCGGGGAGGTTAAGCTTGTTGGAGAGGGAACTGATGCGGACCAACCCTTCTCTCCAGAACACAAAGAAGTCAGTGAGACACTCTCTCTCAGCTGGTCTGTAGCTGCAGGTAGGTCGACAACCCCTCTCTGGCTGGGTACAAGTAGTTGCCCGTCCTGTTGTTTTGATGTTAGTTGACGGGGCAACTGCCGTGTGGTTGATATTTTTGGTCCCTCGGGGTGGTCCCAGCCGAAGGAGACGTAGGGGTATTACCAATAGTGAGGCTGTTGTGTGGGCCTTGATTGTATTAGATATTTTTATCTTGATTGCTTTGATTGTATCTAAATAATTTTAATCAAGATTTTGTTGGTAATCGTTTTGTGTTTTCAGTGGCCCAAGTAATATATATATATTTCTTTCATATTAAGTACTGCATTGATGTGGCACTTGTTTGAAGTAATTAAATTCATTGCCTATTGGTTGTATGGGCGTTTGAATACCTTATTGTCTGGGGCGTGGGCCAAGCAAACCTACGACACATAGAACTCGACACCTCCTTCCCATTTCGACTGCGGTGGAGAGGGTGGATCAATAGAATATTTCTTATTAGTGGTTTGTGTTTCCACCAGGGTAGATCTCTATATCTCTCTCTAAGTGTTTGTCTCGCGTCTGTATCGGCTATGGCGATGCACCGATCTGAACATGGCTAGAGCCACAAAGCAACCGAAGCTGACACCCTCATAGCACACACTTCTGACTTCTGATTTGTTTCTTAATGAATTTTTAAGCTATAATTTGGAAAGTTAAATAAGTAATTTACCGGCCTCCACTATAATGGCTTAAATTTTGATGAATTTAAATCCGGATCGCCGCATAAGAAGCATGAAGTGGCAACTTGGAAATTGGGAACCATCTCAGAATTTGCTTAAAGACAGAGGAAAACTAAGAAAACCTCTGTCGACACGTGGTTTAAATAATATTTAAGAATTTAGTCCGTACCGCGAAGAAAACACTACACTTTACCATTACTAAGATCAATTGGTTAACGCTGTTTAAGGAAATGATCGCGGTTTATAGTGAGAATCATAGTTCGTCTGAATAATATTTAAGAATTCAGTCCATACCGCGAAGAAAACACTACATTTCACCATTACAAAGGTCAAGTGGTTAACGCTGTTTAAGGAAATAATCGCTGTTTACACTCAGAATCTTGACAAAGACGCAAAACAAATAGCTTCAGAGGGTTAATAAGATGAAGTGTGTTACCAACTCCTCATGTGTTCATTTTCATGTAAGAGCGCCGAAAATACATGACAGATTTTGAAGAGATTCGGTATTACAATCCCACATTACATTCTGCTTTAAGTACACGTTACTTGGATGCGTGATCATTTTGATTAAACTGTGTGTGTGTGACGCGTTTATTGGTCACGAAATTTATTAGTGCTAAAGTCTAATCAACTTTTAATTATGATTCGACAGACTTTTGGTGTAATGTATTTGTTATTCGTATTATTAACCGTTCATGTTAATATATTCTATTGTTTATATACAGCCTATAAGTAAAGTCACCGAATATCGCCCGTTCTCCTAGTTCCATGCGCTCTCGTTTTCATGTTGTATGGTGGTGCACTCTGTTGATTTTAAGTGGTACCTGGTCACGGTGCAAATCAGTCTGGCTGTCTTCTGTTGCAATAGAACGTGTAGTGAATGCTATTGATTTCTCAAGGCAGAGCTTTTGGAAGGTTATGTCAATTAGATTGTATCACTACACAGCGTCTGTATTACTATTGTTAAAACCATAAATTCTGTGAAACAAGTACTATGAGATAGAAGGGCCAGTAACAAAAGAAAATTTATATGGTCAAAGAATACGAACCAGCGCAAAGACGGAACAATAACAAAGAACAAATAATTTATGAACTTAGAAGTTGTGTAGAATAACATGTTTTAGTTTATGAAGACTTAATAAAATCAAGAGGTTAGGAGACATTTTACATTGTAAATTATAAACATCGCACACTGAACAGTCTGTGATGTATAATTAAAGTCAACACCGTCCATTTGAAACGTACTGTTCGCTAAAGAGTTGCCTCTTGTCCAATATATTTCATTAATTAAGGTGATGTGTGCGTGTGTTCTAACCTTATTTTGTCCGACCTTCTTTTTCAGTGTGCAAACATTTTTGTTTATCGTAGCCATTGTGTTTCTGCCGTGGGCCGAGAGGTGACAGCTCCGTTCCGTCTTACCGCACATACCAGTCAGAACGTCGATACACACATCTTTGAGACATGTTGGCTGTACCTTGTTCTTTGACGACACACTACGAATCAGTATCTTATATACAGCGTGTTACAAAATTACGCAATGGTAGAAAAACTCAAAACGAAAATGTGAAAGGATGAATTGTGTACAGGGGACCGTCAGATGGGACAAGTGTATGAATCACTGTGGGAGGACCAAAAGTCATAGGACGTGATGTACAGCTCTGGAACTACGCAATACAACGGTGGACAGTGGTCGGCGGTCAGCTGCTTCTTTGCACCGTCGTCCCATGCAAGGAAGACATCAGCAAGGAGAGGTAAGTAAAATTAACCTCATGTTTCACTAATACTGTGTTATGTTCGCATTTGATCTTTTGTGTTTGAACATGAACGTAATCCGGAAGCATATTTTATGGTCAGATGAA